ACATGTTTCGAAGCAAATGGTTGGAAGCAAATGATACATATCGGTTCACATCATTACAAGTTCAAAGCAAATAGTTGGGTTCTACTTATTTTTGTTGAGCTCCCATGTCCTCTCTATCCATCGAAGCCTTGCACTAGGTTCATGATCCTTGAATGTTACGAAAATATCAAGATATTTCCTTTCCAACATAAGATGGGAAGCATAGAAATGCACATCACTCCCAGGTTTAGCACCATCTGCAATCACCATGTTCATCATGTCTCCAGTCTCCTTTCTTGTTGTATCCTCTCCTAGGTTTCCCTTTCTCTTTTCCCTTGCACCAAAGAGGTCAACCATACGTACAAGTGCATCGGTTTTAACACTTTCATTTGACCACTTCTCATTCATCCTAGGACTTGGCGAATAAGAACATGGCATCTTCTTCCCAATCTTGGCACGCTTCGTACGAGGTGTAGCTTCGACATCATGACTTTCACAACCTGAATCATCATCCATATTAAAGCGAGATGAACCACCTTGATATGTGGGAATTGGCACCCTAGCATGTTCATTTGTGACACAACAAGCATCAAACACCTCTCTCATTTTGTCCTCCTCTGCTAGTGGAGCATACCGGAACTTCGCAGCTAACGGATTTGCCTGCAATCATATACCAGGACTCACGGTTAAATAATGGTAGAAGAACATCACTCACTACTTGAATGAATGACATGGCAACAAAATACCTTTATCTCCAATGGCCACCACTCATCTGTAGCTGCAATGGTCTTTGTATATTCACCTCTACCAATGCCAGTTGCTTTTTGAGTCAATGTATTCCATACACTGTAGTCTGCTCTACATATATCCCATCTATTCTTCAGTTGGTCGGAAGAATAATTTCTCCCGGTGCGCTCATTGAACTTTCTAACCAAATTAGCTTTTCCAATGTCGGTTAAAGTGGTGCCACCACGGTTATTAGCTCGCACCTCCTCTACACATGCATCCATAAAAATGGTATGCGCTGCACTGTCCCAGTTTGCTTTAGGGGGCTTGGTTTTCTTTTCTTTCTCCATCTACAACGTCTACCATTAGCACAAAGCAGTAGCAACACAGAACCACTCACAACTAGCATTGAGAAATTGTAGTAGAAAAAGAATTTTAAAAAATCATCTACCTACACAGTACAGAAAAGAACTTTTGTTCCTTGTACAGAGAAGAATCTAACAAATAAACTAACATCATGTACATCCATCCATCAATCAAGCAAATCATCTACATCTATCTAGCAATCCATTGTTCCATGTACAGAAAAGAGCTACAAATCATCTACATCCATCTATCCATCCACTCTTCGATGTACAGAGAAAATACAAGAGAGAGAGAGAGAGAGAGAGAGAGAGAGAGGCTCACCGAGGCAGCGGATAGAAGACAGCAGCAGCCGGCTGGATGGGCTCGTCGGGGCCGGCGGAGGACGGCGGGGAGGGCGGTCAGAGCCGGCGGGGCGGAGGACCTCAGGGGCTGGCGGGATGGGGGTCGGAGGAGGCGGCGCTGAGCACTGCTTTGGCCGGCCGGATGGGCGCGTCGGGGCGGCGCTCGTCTGCTCCGGCAGGGTTCCGATAAGGCGCGCGTCTGGGCTCGAGGGAGGAGGGGCGGCGGGTCAGGAACCCTAGCGGCGGCTGGAGGAAACAGAGCGAGGGGGGAATCGAGCGAGGACAGGGGAGCGAGCGGCCGATGTGTTTTCTGGGCCGCGGTCGGTCAGGCTGTGGAAGGGCATTTTTCCTGTAATTTCGTGGTGAGATAGGGGTACAGTCTGAAAACCCAAACGTTTTCATTTGCGGGAGGTCCAGAATCGCCAGAATCGACCCAAAACGCTGCTTTTCGGTTGCACTGTCAATTGTGGTCTGATTTTGACGATTCTACAGAATCAAAACGAGTTCTTTCTAGCTTTTGATTTTTCAGACCCAGAATCTCCATAATCGGGTCAAAAGAACTGGGCCTAGAAGGTTCCCAAAACCGGCTGGGACCATTCTAGAAGGTTCCCCAAGGATACCGCAATGAAGAAACAGGAGCGAAGCCGAATCGTGGGCCGGCCCAAGTGGAAGCCACAGGGTTGCTCGCTCTCAGCGAAGCAGCAAAGATTTGACGCTAACGAGCGTCATATAGGAATCGCCAGAAATGGGAACTCCTATTGGACGCTCGCTGCGGCAAGCAGTCGGCGTTTCGCACACAGGCAGCTTGGCTGGGCCGGCCCATGTTGCGGGTGCGCCACATTCGCTAGGTTAAAAATCGCGAAAAAGGAAAAAGGAGTAGTGGAATCGAACCCGCGACTTCCTATTGCTGCGCGCGATGAGCTAGCCGCCCCAACTAGCTACTTCTTATGGAAAAACTAACAGCGCGAACCTAAAGAAACTAACAGTAGCGAGAAAACATAAAATCTCAATTCTCAAAATTAGATGAACCAAGGTGTGAGCGAGGCACCTGTGAACACAAGTAGGTAGCCACATTAAAAGGTGAACAGTTTCTGAAGCGAACAATTTTTTAAAGCATGAACAATTTTTGAATGTTGAGAACAAATTTTGAAATGGAGAATAAATTTGGAAGCTCGAACAATTTTTGAAAGCACGAACAATTTTTGAAATGGAGAACAAATTTGGAAGCTCGAACAATTTTTGAAAGCACGAACAATTTTTGAATGTTGAGAACAAATTTTGAAATGGAGAACAAATTTGGAAGCTCGAACAATTTTTGAAAGCACGAACAATTTTTGAATGTTGAGAACAAATTTTGAAATGGAGAACAAATTTAGAAGCGCGAACAATTTTTTAAAGCACGAA